CAAAACTAACTCTCACTACTACAATTTACATATGCTTAACGGGTAGAAAACAGTCAAGCAACAGGAAGTATTGGAAGAAAAGCACACTGACACATATTTCAAATTTCAAGATACGTTCCTCATTACACTAAACATCATATTTTCAATGCACTTTAAAATGAAATTGACTGAGCCACATACTAAATTGCCCTAAATACATGAATTTTTTTTTAACCTCATGCAACTGATAAACAATCTCTGCCATCATTTATTTGTACCATAAAGGTTCTAACCCAGGGAAGGATTTTACCTTTAACCCTATATTATTTTATTTTATTTTTTAAATCCATTCCATTGCTACAGCTTTTGTGATTATTGTGAATTCTGATTCCAATACTGTGCTAGGGCCAATGTAACAAAGTACCACAACTGGGGGGTCTTAAACAGAAATTTATTATCTCACAAATTTTGGAGGTAAGAGGTTCCAGATCAAGGTGTCAGGTGGTCAGCGGGGTTGGTTCCTTGGGGGTCCGTGAGGGAGAAACCTATCCCATGCCTCCCTCCTCGCTTCTGGTGCTTTCTGGCCACCTTTGGTTTCTGCTGCATCACTCTGATCTCTGCCTGCATCATCACGTGGTGGTTCCCTGTGTGAGTCTGTGTCTGAATTTCCCCTTTTTATAAAGTACCAGTCATGTCGGATAAAGAGCCAAACCTACTGCAGCAGTATGAACTCATCTTCAGGATTATATCTGCTACCAGTCTGCTTCAAAATAAGGCCACAGCATGAGATACTAAAGGTCAAGACTTCAGCATATGAATTGGGAGGACACAATTCAACCCATACCAGACAATAAACATATTCTCTGTTTATCACAGCTTTCTTTTACTTTATTATAGAACTAGAGGCCTGATGCACAAAATTTGTGAAAGGGGCTCAGCCCTCACAGCCCCGGCTTCTCTGGAAGGTCATTCGGCTATCCAGTCTAATTAGCATATTACACTTTTATTATTATAGACTAGGGGCCCAGTGCACGAATTTGTGCAACTTGAAAGGAATCTTAGGCCGCAAGGCTATGGTGGGCACAAGGGTGGGTCTCGGCCCATCTTCATGCCCCTGCCTGGCCTCTCCCACCACGGCCCCTAGTCAGTCCCCTGTCTGCCAGCAGCCCCCCTCCTGCCACTGCTGTTCCCACATGCTGACAGCACTAGCCCCACTTGCAACTGCTGATGAGGGGCCAGCAGCTGCCTCTTGCACCTGCTGACAGTGCCAAGCGATTGGGACTGGCGCCGGGCGATGGCAGGAGGTGCGAACAGTGGCTCCAGTGCCGGCTGCGGGTGTGAGTGGGTCCGGCGCCAACAGCAGGTGTGAGCGTTCGGAGGGACCGCAGCGCATGCAAGCAAAGAATTATCAGTAACCACCAGAGGTTGCCCCTATGATAGCGACTGGCGCCATGCCTTGGTCTGGTGCCCCCGCTCACCTGCTCCACCATCCTGCCATGGCCAAAGCCCACCATGTTCCACGCTCTGCTGCCTGCTGCCAACACCCGCCATGTTCTGTGTGCACCCTTGGTGGTCAGCGCACGTCACAGCAACCGGTTGTTTGGTTCTTCCGCCATTTGGTCATTTGCATACTAGGGTTTTATATATAGAGATACATTTGAATGCCTTCCCATTGCAATTAAAATAAAAATCAATACATCAATATATTTAGCAAAAAACACATATCGTCTGACCCCTGTGTGTATCTCCAGTCTCTTTTCAAAATGCTCTTTGCTGTTTATGTTCCATTTACACTTCTTAAATTTTCTGATTGTATGAACTTGGCATCAGAATAGCCTCATAGTCACTGTTCTCTCTACCTTGAATGCACTTCACCACAGTCATCTCCTTATTCACTTAGTTAAAACTAAGTATCTTCTAGACACATCTTAAAACATCATTGCCTCATGCAAATGTTTCCTATGCCTAAACCTTACTCTAAACTACTACTTTCATTTGTGTGGTCTAGTGGATATTGAATTTTTAAGCATATGACACATTTGAAATATTGTCTTCTCTGGTGGTTGTAAATTACATGAGAACAGGAAATATGCCTGCCTGTTCATCAGTGTATTCCCAGTGCATGAGAGTAGGGTATTTGGCATGTGGTTAATGCTCAAAAATTAATTGCGTGAATAAGACAAGAGTCATATAAGCCAGTTGACAGCCAACAATGAAGCTGTTCAGCCAGCTGCTGATACACAAAATAGCATAATAATTCCATTCATATTTCTCCCTTATGCCCCAAATATTCCACAAGACATTAATACATAACATAGCATCTACATAACTTATAGCATCTACATTCAAATAATATTGATGAATGTCAGTGCCTAACATATTTCTATAGTCTATCAGAATAACAATCCCAAAAGAAAATTTAAGGCTAACATGGTATGTTGTGATTGAACCCATATTGACTACTGGTGATCATTCTTTTCATTTCAAATACCCATAAACTAGAACATAAAACATATTTGAGAAATATGTTTCTCACATATGTTAAATTTACCATTATTTATTTTACAGAATATAATTAGGTCTTTTTTGAAAACTAAAGCTGTGCATTTCTAATCATTTTGTAGGCTGTTTGAAGTATTACAAGGAACAGTTTGAAAGTAATTAATTATTAGTTAACACAGTTACTGCAAAGTCATGAAATTTTTTAACCAATTTTAGAAGAATTCATTGCTATCATAAAACCTGCACTATCCAATTAATAATTCAGCTATGTTAAGCATTATGTTGTTCTCTATGTAAATTATTCTTCAGATCCCTTGCAGAATAAAAGCTCTTTAAGAGTAGAAAACATATGTCATATATCCATGTTCCCTACAGAATTGGTGCATGCAGAGTAATGGCTCAGAATCATACCTCTCAGGCCTCAGATGCTATCACTTTTCTTTTTTCTCCCTCTGTTCCAGCCACACTGACTTTCCTGTTGTCTCTTGCATATGACAAACATGATCCTCCCTTGTGGCCACTGCCTTTACTCTTCCCTGTATTCTGCACAATCTTTCCCCAAATATTCACATGGTTTGTAGGTGTTGACTGAAACAGCATGTTATCAGAGAGGATTCCCTAATGACCCTCTCTATAACTGCTTAATAGTTAGTCAGCTCTGTTTTTATTCATAATAGTTTTTACCATGTAGCAAATGGTATGTTTATTACCTGTTTACTCTGTGTTTCTTCCAACTAGAATGAACGCTTCATGAGGACAGGAAACTGTGCTATTTTGTTACCGTTGTATCCTCAGTGTCTAGGACAGTTACTGCCATGCCATAGTAGGACCTCAAAGAGCACTTGTTGAATGAGTGAATGACAAATGAATAAATGAATGCACTGAATGTTTCCAAGATTTAATCAACTTATCCTGAGTCCATGTTTAACTGCTAAGTTGAACAATTTTGGTCAAACTATTGATAAACATGATGATAGGAGATTTGCAGTTCAGTTATAGAGTAGCAGAAATGAAAAACAGTGGTTTTATTGCTTTTATTTATTTGGCCATTATTATTTGCATCTTATCACTGCAAATAACTGGTCAGTAGGATTCTGTAATGCAAAACATGATAAGTAGTTGTGATCTGCACCAGAATTCCATAACTGTCTTTAATCCTAGCTGCTCATCATTTCTGGGGTCACACCAAAATGGGCCATAAGCAATTCATTTGTTAAGTAACTCAGATGAAATCTCTTTCAAGAAACCATTGGACCCTGACACTGGTAGTAACACTTCCATACTTTTTTATATAAGTCAGCTTATTATTATCTGTATAACTATTAGCAAGAAAATCATAATTGAGTTCATTTTACTAATATAGCATGGTTTCAGAATTTTTTTTTAAATTGTAGAATTGTGAGTGGTCAAATCAAAATGAATTTAAAACAATGGATATTTGGGGAGGCTTAACAATTACCATATTTTCAGTCATAAATGTGTTTTATATAGATCACACGTAGCCTTCAACAATATTGACCATCTCTTTACCATTATATAGTTGCAAAATCTAGTTGTATTTTACATGGACTCTTATTTTAAAATTATTTTACTAACATCACAGAGAAATAGCTCAAATCAAGTCAAAGCACTTTCTCTTTATTTCTATTTTCTTTTTGTTATTAAATAAGACTCATAAGACATCAAAAAATATGATCTCTATAGTACAGAAATGAAAATGCTATTAAAGATATTATTATAGCTTTTTATGCATTAAAAACATTGGAAAACATAAAAAATTAGATGGCTGAAGTGTAAATGAATCAGAACAGCTGAAATTAGATTTTTCTCCCAGTGTTTACTAATACAGGAATGTGATAATACATAAAACATTTACTCATGATTTGCGTAAGTATTCCATTATAATTACAAACATAAATACACATTTTAAAGTTTGCTCTTCAACAGAAGATATATTATCAAATATCCTTTACTACGTGTTTTTCTTTTCAGGATCTAAAGTAATACATTCTATAGTTTCTCATAAAATACCATTCAGTTTGAAAGTAGAAACAGAGAATTGCCTTCATAAGAAATCACTTTTATACAAAATTAGAGGCCCAGTGCATGAAATTCATGCACGGGGGGAGGGGGGAGCAGGGGGGGGTGGCCTGCACCCTCTCTAATCACAATCTGGGACTGCTGGCTCCTAACCACTCACCTGCCTGCCTGTCTGCCTGATTGCCCCTAATCCCTCTGCCTGCCTGCCTGATGCCCCTAACTGCTCTCCCTTCCAACCTGATCGCCCTTAACTGCCCTCCCCTGCCAGCCTGATAGCCCCTAACTGTTCTCCCCTGCTGGCCTGATCACCCCTAACTTCTCTCCCTTGACGGCCTGATTACCCCTAACCACCTCTGCCTTGGCCCCCGACACTGTGGCTTTGTCTGGAAGACATCCGGAAGACATCCAGTCTAATTAACATATTACCCTTTTATTAGTATAGATAATGTTGAATGTAAACTGTAATGAAAATATTTAATTACTTTCCCAGGCGGCTGCCGAAGATGGCGGAGGGGCAGGTCTTGGTGCTTGATGGCGGAGGCCATCTCCTGAGCCGCCTGGCGGCCATCGTGGCCAAGCAGGTACTGCTGGGCCCAAAGGTGGTGGTTGTGCGCTGTGAGGGCATCAACATTTCTGGCAATTTCTACAGAAACAAGTTGAAGTACCTGGCCTTCCTGCGCAAACGGATGAACACCAACCCGTCCCGTGGCCCTTACCACTTCCGAGCCCCCAGCCGCATCTTTTGGCGGACGGTGCGAGGCATGCTGCCCCACAAGACCAAGCGAGGCCAGGCCGCCTTGGACCGCCTCAAGGTGTTTGACGGGATCCCACCGCCCTATGACAAGAAAAAGCGAATGGTGGTTCCCGCTGCCCTCAAGGTTGTGCGTCTGAAGCCTACCCGGAAGTTTGCCTACCTTGGGCGCCTGGCTCATGAGGTTGGCTGGAAGTACCAGGCCGTCACAGCCACCCTGGAGGAGAAGAGGAAGGAGAAGGCCAAGATGCATTACCGCAAGAAAAAGCAGCTCATGAGGCTACGGAAACAGGCCGAAAAGAACGTGGAGAAGAAAATTAACAAATTCACAGAGGTCCTCAAGACCCATGGACTCCTGGTCTGAGCCCAATAAAATTGACTGTTATTCCTCAAAAAAAAAAAAAGAAAAAGAAAATATTTAATTAATAAATATAAATCACTATTCATGAGTAGTGTAGTTGGCCTCATGAAATTCCTTATTATTTTATTGAAAGTCTATATTATCAATATAGTAGTATGTCTCTTAAACATAATGATGCCTCAAAGGGGAAAAAAAAACACGTATTTAATAGGTAGCAGGCTCCAATATCAGGTAATATTTTACATAAGAAAGTTTACCTTTACTCATTACAGAGGAAAGTTTTATTCACAGCTAATATTAGTAGCATTGTGTGCATTTAATCATGTTTTTTAAAATTGCCTTCAACAATTGTATTGGGGTGGCAATTAATGTTTTAGGCTTATAATCCTCTCCAGGTCATTCACTTTATAAAAATAAAGTTTTCTTCTTCTGCTTCTTGTGATAGTTGAAAATATTACTGAAAATTGCACTGTGTGTTGCCAGGGAAAATGTGCATCAAGCAATCAGAATTCACAGAGCACCATTCTTCACTCCCCATTCCCTCCCAGAAGCATGTGCTGTATTTCTCACAGACGGATGCAGAGCTGTCTAGTCAACAGTTCTAATGCGTCTGAGCTCAGTATCAAGTTGATACTATAACCTAGAAGGAGATTAAAAATAGAATGATTCATTGTTGGTTGTTAATAATTGGAGTTGCAGAGTCTTGGAAGTTAAAGACACATGTATTGAAAAAGTTCAAGTATTATTTTTATATTCATGCCTTCTACTTCACCCTGTAGGTTTGGTAGATAGAGTGTTAGGAAAAAGAAAATTAAATGGAGATTCAATAACTATGCATATTTTCTATTTTTTCTATCCTTTACCTTTTCAATTGTTAAGTAACTACCAGTGCTTTATCTTGGAATAGATCTAGATGGAATCCAAGCTCTCTCTTTTATTAATTAATAAAATATTGAACTGTAGCTGAAATACATTTCAAATCATTCCAATGTCCAAAGAATAGCTTGTCCCCTTTTCTGATTTTTTGTTTGTTTTCCTGAATCAACATAATTAAAGAAAACACCAGTTTCTGTTCTTTATTTCCTTAAACCTCTTTTCTTTTCCACTTTGAGACTTGGAATACAATAGGAAGGCATAGAAACTCGGATGTAAAAACATATATAACTAGGGGCCTATGCATGAAATTTGTACACGGAGGCGGGGTCCCCTCAGCCCAGCCTGCACCCTCTCCAATCCAGGACTCCTCAGGGGATGTCCGACTGCCAGTTTAGGCTCTATCCTGGGGACATCCCTCTCACCATCCGGGACCACTGGCTCCTAACTGCTCACCTGCCTGCCAGCCTGATCACTCCTAACCACCTCTGCCTGCTGGTCTGATCACCTCCAACTTCCCCCCCTGCCAGCCTGATCACTCCCAAATGCCCCTGCCTGCCGGCCTGGTCACCCCATGCAGTCTGCTGTTCAGTCGTTTGGTCTTTCCTCACTAACCCCCCTGCCAGCCTGGTTGTCCCATACAGCTTGCTGTTCCATTGTCCACCCGGTTGTTTCAGTTGTGACGGCCCCTGGCATTTTATATATTATGATGTTAGCCAAAATAGGAAACAGAATAATCTAGAGAAAGAATGAATAATTTTGATTTTAAATGATTAAATTAGTATTTTCTATTCTTCCTGTGGATCATAAAAGTTATTAAAATTTAAGGGTTTCAACAATTTTCTACTTTGTCCTTTTCATTTTTTCAAGTGAAGAGAGTAAGTTATTTATTTATTTATTTCCTCATAGCTGTCATTGAAAAATTAATTAAATGCATGCCACATGTATACTATGGCCCAAATGTTTGTGCCCCATCAAAATTCAAATGGTGAAATTCTAATGTCCAATACCATGGTATTAGTACCTGGGGCCTTTGGGCGCTAATTAAATCATGAGGGTGAAGTCCTCATGAATGGGATTTGAACTCTTGTAAACTCCCTAGTCTTTTACACCATGTGAGGATACATGGAAAATCTGCAACCCAGAAGAAGCCCTCACCCAACTGTGGTGCCACCCTTGGACTTTGGACTTCCAGCCTCCAGAACTGTGAGAAATAGATTTCTGTTGTTTATAAGCTGACCCAGTCTATTGCATTTTGTTACTGCAGTCTGAACTGACTAAGACAATGTGGGACACTGGCCTGGAATTCAAAATTATATATATTCATCATCATCTTTTCCAAATGCAATTAGTATCTTTCAGCTTCTGAGTAAAAATGAATTAAGATAGTAAAAACTTGTGCACCCTGACTTTGCACATTCTTAAATAAGCTACTCATAAACTACACCACATTTCTGTTTAAATCTGACAACAAATTTGGTTTCCCCCTGGCCAGGTGGCTGGGATGGTTGGCGTGTCCTCATGTGAACAGAAAGTTTGCTGGTTCAATCCTGGTCAGGCCACATACCTAGATTATATTTTAATCCCCAGTCCCGAGTACTGAAGGCAACTGATGGGTGTTTCTTTCCACATCAATGTTTCTCTGTTTCCCTTACTCTCTCTCTTAAAAAAATCAAGAAAAATAGCCTGGCTGGTGTGACTCGGTGGTTGAGTGTTGACATATGAACCAGGAGGTCAAGGCTAGATTCCTGGTTAGGGCACATGCTGAGGTTGTGGACTCAATCCCCAGTAGGGGGCGTGCAGGAGGCAACCAATCAATAATTCTCTCTCATCATTGATGTTTCTATTTCTCTCCTTCTTCTTTCTTGTCTGAAATCAATAAAAACATATTTTTTTAAAAAAAGCAAGAAAAACATATCCTTGCTTGATACAGCTGGAAGTCAGCTGTATCAAGCAAGGAAATAAATGATGGAGGGTGAAACTGAGTCAGTGCTGAGGGTCAAAGAGGAGGAAACAAATGCTGTCAGCACTAAGAATAAGCGATGTATAAGTTATAATAAGCCTTGGACATATCCCTCTCACACACACTCATTCACAACACAGTTGAATCTTCAGGGGTTTAAGTTGCCTCAGCCTAGGGGCTACAGAGACCAGGAATCAAAAGAACATGCCACCAATTTGCTGGCCCATGGTTTACCCAGTTAACTGGTATCCTTAGGAGTCATTGATCTATAGTTGCTTCTAATGGCAATAAAAGTTTTAGAAAGAACTCTTGCCTTTAAAACAACTGACTAAGTTGTTTAAGAAGAGCTAAAAGGCCCTAGATAACACTCTCTTTTTTTCCCTGCAACAATTGATAAGCCACTCAGAAAACCAATAAATATTTTTAAAGAATAATAAATCCAGATAAATAAAGGACTTGGGGTGGATTTTGAATTAGCAAATGTAATTATAACTGACTTGCAGCATAACCAAGTGTTTATAATGTAGCACAAAGGAGACACTGCCCAAAGGGTCTAAATGGACAGCTATTCAAACATTTGTGAAATAGTGGTGATTCTAGTGTTGTCTGCTCCCTGCAGATGATATTAGATGCCTCTGGAATACTTCAGGAGAGCATAAGAAGATATAACAACGCTTTAAACAAGTATCAGTGTGTGAGTGGGTGCCAGACAAGCATGCATTTACAAGTAAATTAAATCTGTTTACCACTTATTGATAGCATTTTCAGGGATATCAAAAGGGATGTCATTATCCCACAGATAACTTCTTCTGGGCATTATATCATTTATGTCAAAGAGATGGCACTTCTCCCTTAAAGGCACGTCTGGTAGGTGTGGATAGGTTTCAGCCGAAAAAGTTTTACAATATATTTCAGATCCTGTTCATGAAAAGGACATGGGTCTCTTGGCAGCCGTAATAGAGACATCTGCTTCTTTGTTTAAGTCTGCCTTTCTGCCTTTTTTTTTTTATAATCACCATAGTAAGTCTCAATTAACTGGTTGTATAAATATTATTATTATTATTGATATGGATACTATTATAATTATGATTACTTAGAAGTTATCCCTGTGGCCTGTAACTTGGTGATTTTGTTGATTTGAAGGTGTGTATTTGTGTCTTAGCCATTTCTCACAGAGCCAAAGAAGGTTCAGCATAACTTTGAGCAGCATTTATAATTAGTTAGAGAAAACTTAAGAAGAACCTGCAATATGCTTGTGCTTACAAAGAAAACGTTGGAGTTTTAGCCTCTTATTATTATACTAGAGGCCTGGTGCATGAAAATTCATGCACGGGGGCGGGGGGCGGGGGGAGTCCCTCAGCCCAGCCTACCTCCTCTCACAGTCCAGGACCCCTCAGGGGTGGGAGGTGACCCGGCGATCTGCGGAAGGTGATGCCCCATCACACCTCTGCTGCTGCCACTGCCAGCAGTGCAAGCCTCGGCCGGCCCTGGTTACCTGCACCTCGGGCTGGTCCTGGGCAGTGGGGCAGCCAATATCTGAGGCTTGTCTGCACCTCATGCCGGCCCTGGGCAGCTGGGCAGCTGCCATCCGAGGCTTGCCTGAGCCTCAGACTGGCCCTGGGCAGCTGGGGGGCTGAGGGAACTGGGCGCCGCCATCTTGTGCAGCCCTGGGCGGCTGGGGGGCTGCGGGAACTGGGCGCCGCCATCTTGTGTCTGTGGGCACTGCCATCTTTGAGACAGCGTGAGGGTCATTTAGCGTATTCCCTCTTTATTAGATAGGATATAAAGTCTTATCTGTTAAACATTTAAAAAGCAATTCCTTCCACAATATATGCCTTTCAGCTGGGTCAGGGACTTGCACTATTCAATGTTTAAGATAGTAGACCTATTAATTAAATGTAAAAATGTACAAAATGAGTAAAAAGGAAATATATTGAGCAACATAATTAGGATCTGGAGATATATACAGTATCTGAAATAGTGAGCCTTTCCTACGTAGATGAAATTTAGAATAAATGAAAATTTTATTTGAAAAACAAAATACCCCAAATTTTCATGATGATTCAGTCATATCTAAAAAGGAGGACAAGTAGCAAGTCCCAATAGTGGCCCAATGGTTAGCCTAAATGACATTTTTTAGTACAAGTTGAAATGTAGAACAGCATTTTTCAGATACAACTGCAACCAGATGAGCTTAACTAGAGCTGCAACCTGGTAA